ATGAACATCTAGGATTTGTGTGTGTGAAATCCTAAAACTGAAACCAAACTCAAAAAAGAGCGAGATCTGTATCGGCACCAGTTTGCCTCCAGCGCCGGACTGGGCAGGGCTGAGCTGAGCTGGGGAGCAGAGAACTGACGTCTTAGGGAGACTTGTGCTCCACGCGCTGGCGACAGGAAGAAAACAGTGGGGAGGACTCCGGGGAACAGCCCGGGCCTAGCCGCCCATCCCTCTCTCCGCAGAGTTCCTCCCCAAAGCCCAGAGGGCTCTCCCAGCCCGAACGCAGACGGGGGGAAACGAGGGGAAGCCCCCGCGGGAGGCGCAGGGCGGAGCCAGGCGAACCCTGACCCCGCCGGGGAGCCCTGGGAGCCCCGCGGGCACGGAAGCGCCGTCGGGAGGAGCGGAGGGAAACCTGACCTGATCGGAAAAGAGCGATCGAAGGAGAGACTAATTTGTCCGCCGGGGTCCTCGCTGGCTCCGTCTGCCCGCCGGGGCTCCCGCAGCTCCGCGGAAGAGGGAAAGAAGGGAAGGGGGCTTTCTGAGCGCCCCGGGGACCGACCAGCCTCGCTCCTGCACTTCGGGGTCAGAGTTTCGCGCCTGCGAGGTTGGAGGGAAGCTCCGAGCGGGTTGCACCGGAGACAAGTAAACAGACGAACACAGACTGGGACACAGACGTGAGCGGAGGCGCGGGACGCCGAGGGAGAGACCCGCAGCGATGGAGCGCGACTGCAGGGCCCGAAACCTGGCGAGGACCGCGGTGTCCTTGGCTTCCACCACGTGCACTGCACTTGCGGCTTCTCCTGCCAGATCCCACGCGCCTGCTCCGCGCCCACCCCAGGCGGCCCCCCAATCCTTCTCCTGCCAGGGTTGGATCTCACTTGGGGATGATTGAGGCCAAAAAAAAAAAAAAAACAGGGTTTGCCAGCTCTCCCCACTAAATTACTGAGTTCACTACTTGCCCTGGGCAAATTACATAAACACTCTGTACCTCCAAGTTCTCATCTGTAAAACGGGGTTTTAAATGGTATCCACTCGTAATGTTGTTTAAGGATGAATAAAGTAATGCACATAAAAGTGCGTGGAACAGTACCTGACCTACAGGAAGGCCTCAATACGTGTTAGATACCATTATTATTCCTTTATCCAACAAATTTGTGAAGTACTCAATCTGCGAGGCCCTGCACTGGGTTCAAGGAGGCAGGGGGTACTGGGCAGACATGGTACTTGCTGTCCCAGAGCACATTTACCGCTTAACAAGTAAACAGGGTGGTATCAGGGAGTAAGAGGACTAAGGAAGAAATAAAATGGGGTATTTGTGATAGCGTGAAGAGCAATTTGAGGTAGAAGGAGCCAGCTAAGTCTTCCGCCCATCTCTGGGCCTCAGTCTCTCTCCTTCAGTAAAATGAGCTTTTAGGCGCCCTGCCCTCGGGCTTCATGAAGCATTGTGGGCCGGGGCCCAAAGAGGGATTGGGGAAGGACCAGCCAGAGGCCTCATCACTCTGCCTCCTCAGCACACTGCAGCCCCGCCCCCTCGGAGGGAGCTCTGAGCTGAGCCTCCAACCATGACAGATGCTTGATGCTCGCCAGGATTCTATTGGGGAGGAAGGCTCCAATTCCAGGAGCCACGGATTAGGGTCAAGCTTTTCAGAGGGCACCTATGTATTCGCACCATGGACTCTTGGAGAGCGAATTCATTGTTTCTTCCACAGCTGGGTGGCACAGTTAGCATAGAGAGTTCTTTTATGCTTTTCTGGCTTGCCTCTGAACAACTACGTCACGAGCTGGTAGGCACTGCTTATTTTATAAATGAACAGACTGTGGCTCACAGAAGGAAAATGTTGATCTCACATGACTCCAAGCCCTGAATTTGACCCTGGCAACACTACCTCTTACTTTTCTGAGTATAAATAATGTTTTGACGAGACTAAGCATCCATTAACGTCTACTATTTGTCAGGCCCTGGGCTTATGTGATTTTATTTAATCATCAGAGCAATCCTGAAAGATAGTCTTTGTTCCAATTTTACAGATGAGAGCACTGAGGCTCAGAGCGCTAAAGTAGGTTATTCAAGTAAGAGACGGAGTAGGTATTCCATCCCAGGTCTGTCCACTCCAGACCTGGAGCTGTTTTCATCTCAGCAGGAAAGGAAGAGAACTCAAGCTCCAACGCAGGGTCAACAGAAGGTCAAGCACATTCAACAGGGCAGAGGTCACCCCCTGATCCCCCGCTCTGATTCCTCCTCTAGGTACCAAGGGCCCATGTCACAGAGCATCCTTCCTGTACCCATGATCACCACGAGTGGGGCAAGGCCCCTTCTAATTTAAATAGGAAGGAAACTGGCTGCCTTTGAATAGAAGCTTGAGATGCACATCACCACCTAGACCCTGATCCCACCCCCAGAGAAATTTGTCTATTCTTGATGGTCTCTGTTCTGCTCTATACCCCTAAAATCCAGAGAGGATTGTGTTAGAAGGGGTCCTTTCATTTTTCATTCATTCATCCAACAGATATCTTTTGTCTGCCACTCTGGGCCAGACCTTGAGCTGGGAAATGGGCATGAAACAGCGAACAAAACTGACAACACCTTAGATACAAAGAGCGTAAGCTCCTAGCCAGAGATCACATGGCTTCAAACTCAGGAACGACAGGATTCCTGCCTCCAAGTTTTGCCTACCAGGACTTCAGCCATGTGGGCTTGTGTATGCCTGGCTCATTGGGGGTCAGGCCCCGGTTCCAGCCACTAAGGTGCCCAGAAGCCTTCCTCCTGGTTCACAGATGACTCTCAAAGTCCCACCTTGAGAAGCAAGATGCAGCTTTCCATACAAACAGCCCTGCACACTGGCCTCACTTTCAATTGGTACAGTTTAAAGAAACTCCCAGCTGGGCCTTGGACAGTGGATGTTGCAAGTTGTTGGGATCCAGGAAAGGATTATCTACTATAGGGTGATTTCGATGACTCTTAAAAATATTTTTATGAGGTTTAACAGCCATCCGCAGAGGCTTAGACAGGTGGCATGACTTGCCCAAGATCACAAGTTAGGAAATGGCCCACCAGGATGCACACCAGGCCTGTGTAAGCCCCAAACCAGCTAGTACCCCCCACCTCCACCACTACCCTCTAGGAGTCTGTGCCTCCAACAGACAGACGAGTGGCAAAGGCGACTGCACAATTCTGGAGAAACCACAGCGCCCGTTGCTTCCTGAGCAAGCCCATGTAGAGAAGATGCGGCGCCGGTCCGGCGCACTCAGGGGGTGGGAGAGGGTGGAGTGTGTCCTGGACCCGGCCGCAGCTCCCGCCTGCCGGTAGAAACTGGTCAAAATACCCGTGTGCGATGGCGATCCCCGGCGCCTGGACCGGACCAGGCGCAGAGGCGCGAGTCCCATTCCTCACCTAGCCCGGCTGTTTCTGACGTAATCTGCACTCAGGAGACTCATCACACCCTCTCCAAAAAAAGTCTCCTAAACTTTTCAGGTTATTAATTAAAAACAAAAATAACAGCAGGGAACTTTTCGAAAAGCAGATGGAGGCGGATATCGCGTTCTTTCCAGGGCCAGAAAAGCCGAAGGCTCTTACCTGCAGGAAATCTCGCAGCCCGCAAAGGCGCGTCTGTCTGGAGCGCTTCGCTTCGTCGCGGGACGCTCACGGCCGCCTCCTCTGCAGCCCGGCTGGGCTCCGGCCCTGTGTTTTATACCACTATAGGCAATTAATATTGCATCAGCCGTATTTTAAATTTTCAAAACCCACAATATAATGTAATGGCATAAGGGCATTTATTATTAAAGGACACCGATGGAGAGGGAGGTGGAGGAATCGCTGGGGCTGTTTCACAAGGCGGGGGTGAGGGGCTGAGGCTCTGGGGCTGAGGGTGATCCCCCAGGTTTGCTTTTGCAATGAGGGCGGGGGCCGCACCGCGCGGAGGGAAGACCCTGTCTGTTCCGAATTTTGAGCTCGAGGTCTAATGACCCATAGCTCTTTGATGACACGGTGGGGAAATGGGCAGACGACTTCTGGACTTGGAGCATTAATTTTTTAAATCATGAAGGTGTTTCTGCGGCTTACAAATTAAAAGGTTTCCTCCCCCTTTTAGAAGGAGTGGGAGAGAGAGAAGGCACTAGCATCTGTTGAGCACCTACTATGTACAGGGCACTAAGCTAGGATCTTTGCAGCAGACCTCTCATTTAGCGCTCCACGGAGAAGCCCAGCTAGACCACAGAGTGAGCAACCTCCTGGGTGACAATTCCAAATCAATTTCTGAAGAGACTCCAAAGGGTCCCAACGGACTCCGTCCCGAGAAGGAACACTTTCCTCCCTCTTTGCAGCCATTCCTTCACTTCCTATATAGCCACTGAATCTATTAAAATAATGTTTCCTATTAAGCCCAACCACTACCAGGCGCCTTAAATAAACAATCTTACTTAGTCCCGACAATAACCTTGTGAGATAGGTATTATCGTCTTCATCCAGCAGACAAACAATGGGGGCGAAGAGAAGTGAAGAAACTGGCTTTAGGGTCGCTCAGCCAACGAGTGGAGGCACTGGGGCTCCTACAGCAGTCAGGCTTCAAAGTTTGCGATCTGAGTCAAGTAGAGCGAACTGAGGCTGAGAGATTCTCTCACGGGGACGTGTGAAGGGAAGTGTCTTAAAACCCTGAGGTCCGGAAACCAGCGGTCGGATCTCAATAGGGTGAGAGGATGAGGCTACCGGGGGAGAAGGAGAAAGGAGATGGGATGGCCAGGGGCTGACCTGCCGGAAGTGACAGCCCAGCTCTTTGGGGTCCTCACTTTTAAATCCTTTCCAAGACTAGTACACTTAGCCTCGGAGAAAGAAAAGCACTGCGATTCGGGTTGAAAAATAAAGCATTTATTTTAGAAGTTAATTCAAGGGGTAAAGAGAGAAGAAAACTTAATATTTTATTTGTATTTACTCGGAGAACGAAACCAAAGATCACACAGCAACACGCAAATTACATGAAGCAACGAAAGATAAAATGTGATGGGACTAGAAGGAGTGGGGGTGAGAAGGATCCAAGCCGGCGGTCTGGCCCTTCTTTCCAACCACAACTATAAGTGAACCTCCACCGAGAAACGCCCACAGAAGGGGATGGAAAGAAGTAAAGTTAAATAAATAATAGAAAACAACGATGCTAACAATAACAACAATAATAAAAGCGCAACGAGGTGAGACGTGTTGGAAGGACTTGCATATGATTCGGAGAAGTTACAATTACTTTCGAGCAGCCGCCTCGACACTGCGCTGGGCGTCTAGCTGGAGAAGCGAGCTGGGGTCACAGAGTCCGCAGTCCGTCAGGAACACTACCAATTCCCCCCTCTCCAGCAGGAGGTAATTACCCCTCCAACGCCAGCAGATCGTGGAGGATGGGTTCGAGCACGTGTCCACTGCTGCTTGCAAACAGCTAAGTGATCCCAGTCTGTGGGCCCTTTTCTGGAGCCCGGCAAATGCAGAGAACCGCTTAGAGCCCGCGCAACTCCCCGCACGCTTTCCCTGAACCTAATCCATGCTACCTTAGAGAATTTACAACAAACCAAAGAATGAGATGGATAAAATTCAGTTGGGGAAGGGAGTATAAGGCTATCCTTTGGAAACATACATGGTTTTATATACTCTAAATAAATCTCCAGTACATGGTTGTGCCCAGTTAAACTTTGCATTATTATTTATCACTTCTTTCCCATCCCTTCACCCCTTGCCTAATCGCGCTTAGCAAAGTGGCGCCTTCACCCCTGAGTTGTGTGGTGGGGCCAATTCACTATCCCTTGCGTTTGGGCTCCTGCCCTGAGGTCGCGCAGTCCAACGCGCAAGGGCGATTTTCAGCACCACGGACAGCACGAGCCCCTCCAGGCCTGCCCTTCGTGAATTTTTTTCTTAGCGCCAAAAGTTTTCTGGTGGGAATAGAATGGAAAAAAGAGAAAAGGAAGGCCGGGAGGCAACCAGGCAGGATAAAGGGGAAAGTCTGTGGCTTTGGGAGAAGAGAGCCTGACCTGCCAGGAAACATCTTGGAGTCCCCCAGAACCGTCCCCCCGGGACGTACACTCAAGCTTTCCCGGCCCTGGACGCTGCGCCCGCAGCAGTCAGTGGACAGCCGAGTACTTCATTCGTTTCTGTTTCTGTCTCTGGTTGCAGAACCAGACCCTCACCACGTTCTTTTTAAGGTCCAGTTTCTCCGCGATGGCCGCGATCTTCTCGGATGAGGGCCGCGGCTGGATAGCGAAGTAGGCCTCGAGTGAGCGCTTCTCTGGCGCCGCGATGGACGTGCGTTTGCGCTTCCGCTCACTGCCGTTGAAGAGCTCCGGCTTGCTGTTTTTCTCTCGATAGGCGGCCTCGGCTTCCTCGAGCCAGGCCTGGAGCACTGGCTTGAGCGCGATCATGTTGTTGTGGGAGAGTGTGAGAGACTCGAACCTGCAGATGGTGCTCTGGCTGAGCGAGCCTACGCCCGGGATCTTGAGGTTGGCTAGAGCCGCGCCCACGTCCGCCTGGGTCACCCCCAGCTTGATGCGCCGCTGCTTGAAGCGCTCGGCGAACGCCTCGAGCTCTCGTGGGTCCGACTCCACGTCGCTGAGGCATGCGGGCATGGCGCTGTGAGGCGCCACGGCGTGTGGGTGACTCATGCCCATGGCCTGGTGCAGGTGGCCCATGGCGCCCAGGTGGTGCGGGTGGATCTGTGCCGGCATCACCGAGTGCTCCGGGGCGCCCAAGCCGCTCACGCTCAGCGTGGGCGAGATGTGCTCTAGCAGGTCGCCCTCGAGGCCCTGGTGCACCGCGTGGTGCGGGTGCGAGGTGAGCGCGGCCGGGTGGGAGATGGGCACGGTGGACGAAGTGGACGTGCAGGGCACGCTGCTCATGGTATGGTAGGTGGCGTCGGGCTTGAAAGGATGGTTCTTGCCGTGGGAGACGATATCCACCGCCGCCAGAGCTTCGGCGCGTGCCAGCAGGCTCTCATCAAAGCTTCCAAATATATTACCCTGCAGCTGCAAGCGAGAAGGCGCACAGCACGGTCAGTGGGGAATACTGTCAACTCAGGATTAAAACACATTTTCAAGCAACCGAGATGCCTCTCCTCAAAGCCCAGGTCATAAAAATTAATACGGAGACAGAAGCTCTGCTGGAACAGACGTGTGGATCAGAGACATGAATGAGAGAGAGGGCGCGCCGGGAGAGAGCGCAGGGGAGACAAGGAGAGGAGTTCAACAGCGGCGATTGTTCTGGGCGGCATGAAAAAAACATGAAGCAAGTGCCTGTCAAAAAATGTGCCTTAGAGCGGTAATTATGCTCCACTACGTACCTGCGGGGCTGGGAGACAGACTCGGCGCATGGCCTCGGAGCCGGAGTGCAGGCTGGAGAATTTGGGTTCTTGAAGCACCGGGTGCATGCCGAAAGGCTGCTTGGTGTTCATGGCCATCATCTTCGCGCGCCTGGCTGGGAGGCAGCGAGGGACATGGATCAGGCTCTTCTCGCTCGCTCGCCGCGCTCCAAGTGAGCGCCGCTCAGCGCCCGCGCTCCCCTCGCCCTCTCGCTTGCTGCCTCCCCTCTCCCCCACCTGCTTCTTCACTCATCTTACAAGCAGCCTGCCAGGAAGGGCCGGGGCGCGCGCAGGCGTGCTCACGCGCCCAGGACTCGCAGGGGCCGCCCGGGAGGCGAAGACAGGCAGCAGCTCTAGGCGCGCCGCTCTGCGCCCGCCACGGCCGCCCCCGCCTCGGCATTTATACCCCGGCTCCGCCGGGCCTCTCTTGGTCCGCCCCGCCCCGCCTGGCTCCATCCTCGCCGACCTTCCGGATTCTTTCTTCTTAGTGGACTCCCCCCACCCCCCAAAGTCCCAAATCTCTCCGTCCTGTCCCAACTCGCACTGCCGAGACCCAGGGGCAGCCCTGGGCTGAGTGGGGTCCTGGAGTTGACCCTACTCCCACCCTCCACCACACACACACACACACACACACACACACACACACACACACACTTCTTGTCGGACCGGCTGCCGCCAAACTGTCCATTTCCAGGGCGCTCCTGGCCCCACGCCCGAGCCGTCCACCAGAGTCCGGCCCTGCAGCGCAGTGAAGAGGCGCCTCCAAGCACCCAGACGGGCTCCGGGGAGGGTGAGGGAATGCCAGAATAGGCCCCAGGTGACCCCCTACCCCCAACCACCCGCCGTAGTGGAGGTGGGGGAAGTAACTGCCTGCCTAGTCCAGGAGGCCTGTGGCTTCCTCCTCAGGCTTGCCTTTCTTGCTTTCGCTTAAGAAAGACAATTTGGCCCCCTCGCCCTTCCCCCAACCCGCCAGTCTAAGGAAGCTTACCAAGTCTTTTTTAGAATAAAGACTTAAGGACTGCCCGCCCACCCTGGGAGCCAGTGCAATCTGCTGGGCCGCCAGTACTTACAAGCCCTTTTCTCCATCATAGCTACCATTTTGAGTTCCTAATATGCGCTAGGCAATTAAGAGAGTTAGCTCACGGTATTCTCACACCCTGTGGAGGAGGGACTGTTATTCCGCTCTACAGAGGAAGAAAACGAGGGTCGGATGGGGATAAGTGATCCGCCCAAGACAACACAGTTAGTTGGGAGCAAAACCATTCAGCCACTCGTTCCGTTATCCATTCCACAAATATTTACTGGTGGCCGATTGTGTGCCAGGAGCCATGGAGGACTTCCCAGGCTCTTACCCACTTGCTACTTGGTCTTCCTTCCCGAAGTTTGGGGACTGGAGTGCTCGGAGGTTAGTACTGCCCCATCCCCGCCTCTCCTCTGCTCTCATCCTCTTTTCTTCCCTCCTCTCTCCTCTCCTTTCCCTGCGCTAGTAAACATCGTGAATAATGGATGGGGAATCCTGGGACCGCGGCCGCGCCGCCCTCCAGGTTCGGAGAGAAACCCTGAGCGCCCAGCTGAGCCCACCTCACAACCGCGGTCGCCTGCGCCCAGGGAGAGGCCTCCGGGTTTCAGAGATCTGCCCCGCCTGCGGGCTCGTCCTCGCGGGCCGCGGGGTGTGGGCCGGTTTCCCAGAATATGGGGAGGGTGGGGTGTTGTAGGGAGCCACCCCTTAGGCTAAGTGGAAGCCCTGCCTTGATCCAGGCTCCCCACCTTCAGGTCCCGCCAACCCTTCTTGGCTTCGGAGCTCTTGCCTGGGTCCTGCCCTACAATACGGTAAGAGGACTCACTCAGCCCAGGTGCGGGAGTTGAAGCACTGCCCTTTCACTAAACCTCTCTGAGGCTCGGTGTCCTGCGCTCTAAAATGGAAACTGCACTCCCGTTTGCCTTCTTGGGTTCTGGTGAAGACGTTTCGTGCAAGCATTGAGCACGGAACTTAGTACTAGCCAAGTAGACCTCCTCCCACCCTGGTGTTTTGGGGCCCAGGACCTGCCCTCAGGTTCAAAACGCACCTCTGCCTCTTGCTGACCCGAGAGGCCATAAGCCACCTTAAGGCCTCTGTACTGCAGTTTCCTCATCTATTAAATGGAGATAATAGTTTCTCCTCCACGGATGGTTGTGAAGCACACACTGAGATGGGCATTTGGCACAGTGCCTGGCACACTGAAATCATGGAATGACTGTTCCTTTCTTCTTCCTCCTTCAACTTAAAGAGAAAGCATTTGGAAGTGGGCGTGGCCCGGGTCATCTTCCTGGAGAATGGTTTGTCTGCAGGTACAAACCAACTGGTTCCTTGCTTGTCTTCATTCATTCAACATCTGCTTTGTGCCAGACCCCATGCAGAAGGTAGCTGTGGCTCAGACTCCAATGCCAGCCCTCATGGAGTCACCAGTCTAAGATCCACAACAGGAAATTGTAAACTTGCACTCTAGTGGAGGGATGTAGATTCGTGCACAAGACACAGAGCAAGGCTGGGGGGATTCTTGAAATACAAAATATGTATGGGAGCCATGGGCCTCAGGAGGGCTGGCTTTTGGACAGCATTCTAACACTTGGTCTATCCCACAAGAAGAAGGCTGGCCTAGATGACTGCTAAGTGCTTCCAGCTCTAGCAAAAGACTATCATTCTGGTTAATGTAAATGAAACACATTTTGAGCAAGTCAGAAGCTTCTCTCCAGAGACCCTCAACTCCCCAGAAGCCGCATACAGTATTATTTTATCACCAGCATTTAGGACTACCCGTTCTTGTTTTCTGCCCAGTGCTAGAAGCCAAAATAAAAAGGGGAAAGGAAAGCTGGGGAGAAGAATCTTCTCCAGGGAGAAGACTCTGTAACTAGCTCGGTCCATGATGCCCTGAAACACACACTCACTCCGTAACACCCTAGTTGTCTGTGAATTGGGATCTCCAGAAATGGGAAAGGCCCATCCACATCTAGCCTTCCCTGCTCTGTCCCTTTAGGGGTCTGGGAGATACTAGCCAGGGTCAAAGTCAGGCAGGGGTCAGAGACAGAGAAAAACCAACTGGCCCTTTTATGCCTTCCATACCAACCTTCAGCACAATGGCCCCCACTCCAGCATCCTAAGGCATTAGTAGCACAAATCAAAACCATCACTTGCATCTGGCCACCTGTGTTTCCCCATCCTTCCCTTCAAGAAGGCCTACTAGCAGCTCTAGGCAGCCAGCAGTAAGATGACACCCACCTTTAGGGGCCAGTCTTTCTGAGAAGGCCCTGGAGACAACAGACAGAAGAAAGGAGGAAAAGACCATACTGAAAGCAACTGGAAGGAGAGCCTTAAAATACACTTGATAACATCCTCTATACTTTACAAGGTTTGCAAACTTAAATTCTGTCAGGGGCAAGTCCAGTAAAATAAATTTGCAAAGTGTATAAAAGGGAAGATTGGGACTGTGGTAACCTGGAGAGCACATGCCCCCACCCCCACCTTAAATGAATGAATTAAATTCAATTAAAATTCACACACACACACACACACACACACACACATCAGATATGGGCCAAACAAAACCTGTCTGAGGGTCCAAGTAAGAACCACATGGAATTTATGCAATTGACACTAAAGGGGACATTTTCTTCATTTTACAGTCATTTCAGGACACCTTTTGACAGCTGCTCCTGTGATCGGTTCTGTAGCTACAGAGCACACTGTGTCAGGAGCTCCAAGGCTAGTGGGAACATAAAATTGCCACATGTAACTCTAAATCAGGACACTCTAGTTACCTAACCTTATTATTTTTTAAAACCCTGCCCTAATTATATAAGTTTCACCAAGCTTCAGAGAGTTTTCCTTCTTTAAGGTTTTTTTTTTGGGTTTTTTTGCATCTTCCTCTAGTATTTCTAAGTAAGAACATGCTGTTTTATGGGCTCTGCTCCTTAAAGGGCCCTGGGACTTCTCTGAGGATGAGCCTTCTCTGTCCCTGTGTCCCCAGTGCCATGTCAATAGGCTGGGCATGATGCGGGAGTCTAATATAACAATTTGTGTTGAACGAATGCATCATGAGTAATACCCTCCCCAGGACTCTGGCCTATGATGACGAGGACAAGAAGGGCCATCTATGGAGTGGTCTTGAGTGCCAGGCACTGGGCTATGTGCCTTAGAAGTGTTCTACCCTGAATCCCCACAGCAGGCCTGTGAGGTTGATATTATTATCTCCATTTTACAGATGAGAAAACTGAAGCACAGAGGGCTTGAGTTCCCCAAGGTCACACAGTTAAGCATAGGAGGGTGAGGACAGGGATCCAGGTTAATTTTAGCTAGCATCCTGGGCTTCTACCAGTCCCCCCACCCCCACCCCCTACACAAGCTCAGGGGCAAAG